GGGGGGGGGGGGGGGGGGGGGCGTACTCATTTGTTGCTTGCCGTAGTCATTTGACCATTGACCACGCGTCCCTTTCGAGACGGAGCACCGTTCCTACCCCTACTAGAGACACCACCAACATTTGGGAGCTCTTTACGTTTCTGCCACAAACTACATAAAAATTTCTTGCACATCTTATCCCCGTCCTCTAGGGCCTCTTGTGCCCACCATCTATCCCCAATTATCGCGATCGTTTTTTCGCTGTTGTCTAATTTACCAAACTTGTCCATGTCACACCCTCTCTGTCTCATTTCCTCCTCGAGATCCTCTCTTTCCTTCCTGTACAACTCACACTCCCCAACTATGTGGGGTCTACTCTCCTCCGATTTGCCACATGGACATGTGTGTCTATCCTCCTCTTCCTCTCTCCTACGGCTGGTATACCTCTGCCTCCGTTCTGGCAAGTCCAGATCGCCTAGTCGAAATTGCAATTTCAGCTTTTTCGCGTAGTCCATGGGGCCGTCCAAGTACGTCTTCATCCCTATCCCTTCTTTCAACTTCCCGTATATCTCCAAGTGGTCTTCGCTTCGTACCTTCTTCCGAAGGGTTGCCTCCTCCCTACTTTCTAGCATCTCCTTGGCTTTCGTCTTGAACCTCCCGAACCCTTCCGTGTCTAACGTCTCCTCCTCGTCTCCTATCTCCTTCCAAACCTTCTCTACCACCTTGTCCCATCTGATTCCCTTCTTCCCTGGAGTCGCTTTTCCCCAAGCTGCCTTGTCAACCATGGTTGGTAGTCTATCGTCCGACATTCTACTTACCTTGTACTGCCAATTCAACTTCTGCATGTCTCTCTTTGTTTTAAGAGAGTACATTCCCAATTCTGCTCTCAATACAGTGGGGGGGGGGTCACACACAGAAGTGGTGGGTGTGGGTGTTATCAAACGTACTCACTTCCTGCGTGTGGGGGGCGATTTACTCGTCGCCCTGCTGCCGAGACAGAGCCCCGCCCCCTTCTATTTAGTTCTAGAAGAAAAACCGCATTTCTCCACGTTGCTTGTGTTGCATACCACTACAGGAGGGTTGCTGTTTGTTACGTAGAGTGGGCTTCACGAATCCCAGCCACACGACGGCACTTTTGGTCTCCCAAGCACATGCTCTGCGAAAACATTACGCCGCTGTTACAACAAGCTGTGGCTTCGCGTCCCTCTCCCATGCCGCCAGGGCACCTTCCTTCGTGTACGAACAAAAAGAAATCGACCGCAACAAGAGAGCTTGCGCATGTGCTCTGTTACAACTTTCTAGTGGAGAGTGGATTGCTGCCAAAAGAAGCTGTCCACGCCACTGTATCATAGTGGCGAACCATCGAGTATCTCGCCTGTGAACGTACGGAGAACATCACCATTTACCAAACCAAAACCAGAGACAGAAAAGACAAAAAAAAGAGCAGCGAGAAGAAAATCCAAAACACAACAACACAAGAATACTTCAAAAAAAAAAAGGAACACCAACAAAAAACGAGAAAAACGGAAATGCAAGAAAAACAACACAAGAAAAAAAATTAAACAACGAAAGACAAGAAAGAGAAACCACAGACAAAAACAAAGGAAAACCCGACCTGTGTGTCGAAATCGATGGACTGGCAGTACTCAAGCAGCTCCGGCCACGGCTGTGAGATCCTCAAGTCCGGCTTGTTTCCCTCTGGCTTGCTCTCCACCACGCAGTGCCCTCGCAACGCCTTCAGATGATGGAAGGATGGAATCATGGAGTTGGGCGTGCCAATAGGGTGTGTCAAGAGTGTGTCAGCTGCGGTGATACAAACCATGATTTCCGTCATTTCATGAAAACCGCAGTGGTAACGACAAACATATGGTTCCTTGAAATAGCAGCAGCGGTGACAAGCTGCGATTTCGTTAAAACAACAGCGGTGGAAAACCATGGCTTCATGAAAGCAGCAGCGGTGACGAACCATGATCTCCTGAAAACAGCAGCGGTGGAAAAATATGGTTTCGTGAAAACGTGAAGCGTCCATACATCCCACCAGAAGCACGATCCACGAGACCACCGTGAAAAAAAGCGGCCCCGCAATGTAAGCTGTATCTTATTGGCTACCTTCTAGCGCAAGCTCGGCCCGGTAGCTCTTGGCGAGAGAGACGGAAACCGTTTCAAAACATCACCGTCACTACCGTCAACAACAACTCCAAGCACCACACACGAGACAAAATAAGACACGCAGACACACATATCCATTCATAGGACCAACACCGAGGACGCAAAAAACTGAATCCGATGACAGGGAACACATACACAGAGGGGGGAACACAAGAACAAATATCTACTCATGTTGCTGGGTCGTATCTGCGAATCACACATTGCGG